CTGGTTATGAGAATTACTCATTGCCTTAGTGCAATTGCTATCCAACTGACCTAGTCCACTTTAAGGGAAAACTCCGCTGTAGACAGTGCCAGTTCTCCCTGGTGTATCAGCATCAATTAGCAAGTAGTCATGTCTCTTCCCCTGGGCGCTCAGAACTGGGTTGTCAAAGCTATATTTGGAAAATTCCAACCTGAAGAGCGTTGCTGGCTTTAAATGAAGGGCACAGATCTAGCAATGAGTGAGTCCACTGGGTGTCAATAACTTCACTTTTACACAGGTTAGAGTCACCGCCATAATAAACACAAGTTCTTTCTCTGCGTAGCTGAAAATGGCCATGTTTTGCTCTGACTGTAGGGTGTTTACAATAGCTGTCAAATCAGTGTGCTTTCCATATAAAGCACGCTGCTGCGTGGAAGAGCAGCACCATACAGCAGGACCGCGGTGCTGAGTGCATCTGATGAGGTGGGTAGCACACTCTGCTTCATCGCAGGGGCTGTTGGCATTTGGTGTCCGATACTGTGGTTAGGAAACCCCAGGCACATTGAAAATACCACATAGTTGTGCTGCTTCTTGCCAGCACTTGCAGTTTGTAAGTGACACCACAGGATCCTTAAGCCTGTATTAAGAATCCACCAATGGCCTTTACAAAGTAAATACTACTGACTAATAGCTAATGTAAGGAAGCACATTTGTTGAGGAGTTCTGTTTCCATTTGGAAAAAACTCGTAGAATCAGTTTTTGGGGTTATTGGGAGCATACTTACGTACCAAAGTAGTCCTGGTGAGGTGTAGAGCTACTCCTTTGGTTGAACAACTGTTTGCTGTCAGAAACAATTCGCGCGGCTTGGCCCATAGAAACTGTACATACTGTAAGACCACAACTCTCTTTAAGAAGTACAACTTACTAGGTTTTTTTTCTCACACGTTTCTCCTTATTCTGTTCTCACACGTTTCTGTCTTCCTTCCCTTTACTAGAACAGCCGTTTTCTTTCCTTCTTCTTCTTCCCTTTCACAGGCTCCTTCTGGGGCCTGCTTGCAAAGGTCATAGAGCACTTCTCCCTCCCAGGGGGGCTGATGGAGTTTCCACTGAGTAGGTATCTTCACTGGTCCAGAAACAAGAGCTTAGCCTATATCCCCTTGGCTTGCACTGTGGCTAGTCAGGCATGCAAGATGCTAATTGTTGACAGCACATTTCTAAACCAAATTTGTATCTACCAAACTTGGTTATATAACATCATGATATACACAGCTTTGGAACGGTGATAACAAAACTGACATGTGCCCAACCAAGTCAGAAAATATAACATAAGCCAGGGCAGATGACACCTCTTTGTAAAGCAATACACAAATCCACCTACCTGTATGTCACTAGAGAAAGACATTGAAATTTGCTAGTTCCCAGCCACAAGTGCATTCAGTACCATTCTCCCTTTTGATTCAGAGGAGGAGAAAATCAATGCCAGCATGTTGGATTGGAGTCCTAAAGCTCCATATGCAATATTGCAAGATAAACTAAAAGCATACTGAGGTATTCAGAAGACTCCTGCCCAGCATGTGTCTTACATAGCACTTGTCCAGTTAGAGCAATTCTCAACATGTTTTAGTTCAGGGAAGAAGAAAGAGAATCATATATTTAAAAGGGAAGGAAATGGGCACATCATCTCCATCACAGTGCCAGATTTAATGAAAACAACAAAAAAACCCATCAAAACAAAAAAAATAATTCAATTGACTCATACTTGAGTCTTATTGATTGCAGTGGAAGATTGTAATGATTCCTCACCTCTCTTGAAGGCTGGGGCAAGAATGATAAGGTTGTTATCGGAACGCCACGTAGCTGTCTGCACTGCCTCATCCCTATGCTTGATAGTGAAGCAAAGTGAAATATATATTGGGTATTGTTTGGTGAGTTTTTCTGAAGGTTAAAATGGAAAGCAGTCTTCATAATGTGTTTCTGTGTTCTGTTGTGACCACATAAATGGGTGGAAAACATAATCCAGTGGAAATGTATTTGATTTGTTCCATAATCAAGTCAAATAGAATATACAAGTAACACTAGTTGTGCTAATCATGAGAGTTCTGTGTTTTCTTAGACTGTCACCTGCACCACAAAACATAACAGCAGCAGCCATGCAGAAGGGCTTTGCAGTCATATAGTACCCTCCAACTGAAGTTGGAAAAACAAGCTTCCCACTCACCTGAGT